ATTTTATAATGTATAGAGGAACTTCAAAAAAAAGAACAAAAGTAATTTCCACCGTTATAACATGTCCTTAAATGGTTCCCAATAAAAACATAGTTAACTAAGTAGTATACTACATTATATTAATTAATTTACTAACCAAATAGCAAAAACATTTCAAATTCGAAATCCATCTTTTTACTAAGTACTTTTGCAAAGTAACAAAAATTCTAATCCCTTTGTTGTTTAAATTAAACAAAAAAAAATTTTTTTTTTCCTTTCATGAAATGCTAATTTTATGTTATTTGATAAAAACTGAGAAGTGCAAAATCAAAATCCTGGTGAAATACATATACTTATGAATGAACACAGCACACAAACATTTCTTCACCCTAAGCACGAACACAAATAATATTTTAAACAGTTTAAAATGAATCCAACTTTCAAAGTATTTAATTTGTGATAGATAATGACAGCTGAAAACATTTTCCAATATTACAAGATAAAATGAGGTTATTTCTCACATAGTTTCACAAATAAACTCACAAAATAAAGAACGCTTTTTTAAATTTTTAATTTGCAATATGTTAGATGCTTTATTGAAGAATTTGCAATAATATCGTTCTGATTTTCATTTTATCCAAGATTGCCATTATTTTTCACTGATGAGCAACTTGCTAATTATTAGTCCAATGTAGAGTCCTCCTTCTGTTTTCTCATAAAATCGCCTTTGTAAATTTAGAGTTTAATTTAGCAAAACGTTTTCCACCTAAGTGGTAAAATGTCTTCGTAAAGGATTCCCTAAAGAAATCTGCCTTGTATTTATGTTGCATTTAGGGATATTTTCAAAAACACACGCTGCTGATTGTTATTTTTAATAGGTGAACAAAAGAAATATTTTTTTAAGAAAGAATATAACTTAACTGCAAGCTATATCTTATTCCTAGATAGCGAAGCTTGATTACAAACTCAATTTTTAAAATACATTTAATTATCTTTATGCTTTAAAAAATGCCTTGTCTGGTAATTGTAAATGCATAAATCACTTGTTTTTTAAAACTAAGTGATCCACTCTAAGTTGAATAATTACAAATAGCATAATGTGAACGATTAATGAAGCTAGAACCGCCAGTTTATTCTTATGTAATTAATAAAAATTTCATTGTTTCAGCATCCTAGTATCTTTCTTTCTTACTTCATTTAAGCTTTAAACCATCTCACTGATAATAGTTTTCATGCATAACAAAGGTGTTTTACTGGGTATTCGGATAGAAAAAAAAATTCTCGAATAATCTGAGTTGTTAATATATTTTTGGATAACATCCTGAGAGGAATTCATTAATAATAGTAAAGCCATGAAACAGGTAAACTCAAAACGTCCTTGGAAGGATCAAAATCATGATCGATTCAGTTATTTAAATAACGCAAAGCTGCGAGGGCTACCTGCCTATGAGGAAGGATGCCTTCGTGGAGGACATTCTGAGAGAAACTAGCATATTATACAGGGGGAAAACCACAAGAACCAACCATGCAGCCGGTCAGTTCGCTTGTGATCGAACCCAAAACAGGTCGAACTGCCAGTATTCAGAGGTGTATCTTAACCACTGATGAGGCTTGGATCACAATCATGAATCTTCAAACTTATTCATCTAGACGTGCTGTCAATTTACCTTACAAGGGCACCCACACACATACAAAAAAAAAAAAAAAAAAAAAAAAAAAAAAAAGATCATTCCTTATATTCTCCTCCCTTAAGGACCGGGATTCGAACCACAGATCTTCCAATTTTACTAGCTGGATCTGCTACTACTTGCACCACCACAGGACGCAAGGTAAACCAGTAAGTCTTTATAAATGTACTAGCACGACAGCATTATATGAATTGTTGGGCATTTTAACTTCGAAAATTAGATAGAATAGTATTTGAAAATGAATATTATGTTCAATTATTTTTAAGTTTGTTTGTAAACTGATCGTTGCCTTTCCAATTCAAAAAAATTTCGAATCATATCTAGATGCTAGATATATCATTAAAACATTTACTTGATTTGGTCACCCACTTAACTTACACGTTGACCAGCGGCCGAGCGGTAAAGTCGCTGAACACTGGTAGTTTGGTCCGAGGTTCGAATCCCGCGAATGGGGCTGGATGCATGGGTGTTTTAGTGGTTTTTACCATGTGTAACGTGTATACGAGCCAGTTTCCCTTAGAAAGTCGTCCACAAAGGCATCCATCCCCTTAGGCAGATAGCCCTCGATGCTTTGCCGTAATTAAATAACCTAACCTTTAAAAAGTCCTCCACGAAGAGACCCTCCTCTTAGGCAGACAGCTCTAGTATGCTTTGATGTAGTCAAATAAGCCAAAACATTCTGTTGGCGAAAAAGCAAGATTGCATTTATCGTGAATAATTTCTAATGCAAAAGTTATACTTGTTACTAAGGAAAGAATTTATTTTTGTGTAAAATTCAGATTGCCTGAATTTTAACAATTCTCAGAAACGAAACACAAATAACAAGAAACTAAAAAAATATTCATAATTAATTAGGATATATAAACGATGTAATCATTAAGCATATTTTTAGTAAGAAAGAATATTTTGTAATAAATAAATGAAAAATATATTTAATATTAAAGAATCCTCTATATATCTCTACAAAGTATAAAAATTACAAATATTTTTCAAGGTGCATGTGTATATGTACCTGATAAAAAGATTTACATTGTTTATTATTCTAGCGATATTTTTAACCAGATGCATATTTTCCGTGAGGCATTTTTTTTTTTTCACCGATATACATTTTCAGGATATTTTCTTGGCATTCGTTTTACTCAAGTGGTTAGATTAAAGTGTTATTTTGTATGCTGTGAAACCTAACTAGAATTTATTTTCATTCCATAGTTGCTTCACATAAATTTTCGATTTCATGTAATATTCAGTTTCATAATGGCATTTTGAGATTTACTATACTTTTCAGTTTTTTTTTTTTATTAAATGTCGTCTACAACTACTTTCAATAAAATACTGATATATAATAGGGAAATATAACATACACGCGCTCTCATGCTCACAAACATACATCACCATATGTATACACAGTGTTTTGTATGTGTGTTTACATGTATATATATAGTTTACATACAAAACCGTTTTAATAATTCCTACGAAAAATGTGATAAATTTTCACGAATAAACGAAATAAACTGCTTGCGCTTTCTATAGTTTAACATAGATGAAGATTTTAAAGTCTGAATTTAAATAATGATATTGTGTTTATATGTACTGTAATTACTGATGAAAGGATGTTTCTGAATTTAAAGCCAGGGTAGCTTAAATTACTTACTGACTGTAAACTGTAACTGATGAAAGGATGTTTCTGAATTTAAAGCCAGGGTAGCTTAAATTACTAACAGACGGCAAATACACAACTTGAAATCAGAGTCTTTGGAAGAAGCAATAAATTTAGAATTTACGGCAGCTCCATTTCTCGTCATAGTTAACAAAAGGAACAAACTGAGAAAGATCAGAGTTATAGATAGCGGATGCTTTTTTGTCCTTGCACAAAGGTAATGGTCTCCCATACAAAGTAGAAAATGTACAAAGGTGGTAAGCTTTTAGTTCAGTACCCCCTGGAGGTATATTTACGTTGAAGTCAACTTGGAGATTCCGCTATTAGGTGTTTTCTTTGAAAAGGGTAATATCTTTTTCAGCACATAACCAGAAATAAGAGTTTATGTTTTCATTACTTAATCTTCAAAGCTGTATAATTTGGAGCATCTGCTCGGAAAACTGTTAACTTATTTTTCATCATTCATGAAAAGAATACACACCTGCGTAAATGTCTTGGAGAAATAATATCGTTAACAATTTTGCTACAAAGAATTTTTTTTTTTTTTGGTTTCTATTAACATCTCGATAATGCACGTAGTAGTAGTATATAAATACTTGCATTGTAACTCTTATATAGTTAATTACAAGGAAATTGCATTGTAACTCGAAAATACATTTATTTTCTCAAGAAGCTCCTTTGACCAAGCTATTTACTTGTTTTCTACCCCCAAAGTGATTTTACTCTATAAAAGCCGAACTGCCTGATCTCATTCATCAGCCACTTCATCTATTCTGCTGTTGTGTTATCTGCTGCTGCTATTTCGTGCTGTTTTGAAAAGAAGCATATATGGCTAGTGAATCTGAAGAAGAAAGTTTATTATCTAGCTCAGAAAGCGAGTTTTTATCTTCATCTGAAACTGAAAGTGATTCAGATGAAGAACAATTAAGCAAAGTGCGGGATTGGTGCAAGATAGACACTTCTAAAACTCAACCTGTTCCTCCTAAATTTCCATTCAGCGCTTGCCCAGGTTTAAAAATGACCATAAAGGATGCGAATGATCCTTTACAATTCCTCCTTCTCTTTATCGATGACGAAGTTGTAAACATTGTAGTTGAAGAAACTAATAGATATGCCTCCCAGTATTTGGCCGCAACTATATTAAGTCCACGAGCAAGAACACGCGCATGGACTGAAACAAATCAATCCAAGTGAAATAAAAGTGTTTTTTGCATTGCTGTTATTGCAAGGAATTATGCAGAAGCCAGTGGAGAAATGGTTTTGGACTCAAAGACCAATAATAAGCACTCCATCTATAGGCAAAATAATGACAGAGAGGCGATACAGTCTCCTTATGAAGTTCTTACATTTTGAAAATAACGAAACTTTCGACAAAAGTGTACATCCTCAGCCTAAACTGAAAAAAAAATTATACCTTTTCTGAAAGGCTGCGACAAAAATTCAAATACGCATATATCCCAGACAGGGATATAGCTATAGATGAATCTCTGCTGGGTTATAAAGGCCGCCTAGGTTGGAAACAATATATAGCGACTAAAAGAGCTAGATTCGGAATTAAAATATTCCAATTATGCGAATCGTCAAGTGGATATATTTGGAATTTCGTACTTTATACCGGTAAAGGTACTAAATTTGATCTGCGATACGAACAATTTGGAGTTGCAACGAAAAGCGCAATGACGCTGATACATGATTTACTAAACAAAGGCTATAGCTTAACGCTAGACAACTTTTATACTTCACTTGAACTTTCGGAATTACTTATCGCGGGAAAAACAGATATATGTGGCACTTTGCGTGCAAATAGGAAAGGTCTTCCTCAAGAACTGAAATCAGAAAGATTGAAGAAGGGCGAAATTATGGCCTTTCAGAAAGGCAAAATATGCGTTCTGAAATGGCAAGACAAAAAACCCATTTCATTTTTAAGTACCTACCATGGTACAGATTTCGAAACTCTTTCGAAAAATGATAAACTCATACGAAAACCTACTGCTATAATTGACTACAATAAAAAAATGGGAGGAGTGGATAAAGCTGACCAGTGTCTAGCGTATTATCCAGTCATAAGAAACCAACAACGAAAGTATTATAAAAAGATTTTTCGGCATCTCTTAGATCAAGCCGTATGGAATGCTTTCGTCATTTATACGAAGTGTGGAGGCCTTAACAGGCATCTTGAATTTAGACTGAGACTGATAGAGAGATTAATTGAAGAGCATTTAACACAGTTATTTTATCGCACCCATGACACATCACATCCAATATGGGCATAGCACATGGTAGCATCGTACGTTTAACTGGAAGACATTTTCCTTCTGTTATTCCTCATACTGGTGCTACTCGAAACAATCCTTCGCGTAGATGTGTTGTGTGCAATAAACAAAGAAATGATAAAGGAAAAAGAATTAGACGCGAAACCAGATACTGGTGCGAAGAATGTAATGTAGGACTATGTGTTCACCCATGTTTTAAAACATATCACACTGTTCAGGACTTCTAAATTATGGTATGTTTCTTCATTACTTTTACTTTTAAAGTGAGAATGCTATTATATTTTAAATTCATCTTACCATTTTCATTACCATAACTCCGATATTTAGATAAAGAACTTTGTCTTTTTAGAAAATCTTAAAATTTTGGTTAGATGTATGCGAATTCAGTGAAAAGAAGAACTTTTAATTGGTGGTGAAACCCTGTCATCAAGTATCAAATCTGAGTGCAAAATATTTTAATTTTGAATGCATGTATTAATTATATCGTAAATTTAAAGATTATTGTAGAATATTGTCAAGCGTTAAATTTTCAAGAAATATGAGTCAAAGCTACGTACAACAGTAAGAACTTATGCTTTTGCTAGTTAAAGAATAACTATTTATTTTCCCATTTTATTTTTAATTCACAATATATTTCATATCATTGTACTCATTGAATGTACTTAGTTTGCCTTAGATTTTGCTGAAGTGTATTTTTGTTCCCTGTATAATTTTTTACTTCATTTTAAATTTATTTTTAGTGTCATCATTAAAAATATTTCATTCTTTGTCTTTGATATTTACGTTATAAAAATATTAAATTAATTTTTGCATTATATTTTAGAAATGCTTTGCATTTTCATTTTAATTGAAAGTCATTTCACACCATATTTACAATTGTAAATACTAATCTAATGAAACATAAGAAAACTTTTCATTATATTAAGCAAAATCTGCCTATGTATGATACTTAATATTTTTAGTGACTCAAAGAGATATAATACTTAAATAATAACTGTATCGTGTCAGAGCTCTATTCCTGGTAAAGCGGAATGGCTACATTAAGTATTTCGCGGTATTTTTTACATTTAACACGTATTTAACGAATTGTAATCCGAAAAATCTGCATGAAGGGAATTTTATACTAATTAGAAGCCAGAACTACTATATTTGACTGCTACTAAAATGCTTCAGAATTTTTTTTTTCATTTGTTGGAACTTAAAAGGAAAGGTAGCAGCCTAAGTAACAATTGTTTTGCACATTCGTAAACATTCTTTGAATTATGATTTTGAGGTTTTGTTAAATAACAAATATTAGCGTATTAATTCTTCGCTTGCATTTCCTTGAAAATACATTTCTAAATCAATGAAAAAAAGGCAACTAAATTAATAAGCTGAGTTTTTTTAAAGCTTTAATGTTATTCTTTATTAACAAGTTTGATATCGTAACAAACCTTGAACTGAAGAGGAGGCTCATACAAATAGCAATTAGGGCTAGAAGCATTACTTATATATATGTTAGATGCAGAAAGTTGCTCAAATCTCGAGGTAAGCTAAAAGGATAAATTAATGAAGGATGCTGTAAAAATTTGAGGTAAGTTCCCAAATCAGTTGGGTTGGATTAGATCCGTAAATTACGGAATAACACATTAAGATTATGAGAGGGACTTCTTTCAAAGAGGGCGTTCTAAAGAGAACTTACTTAGGTTACTTATGAGAAAATAATCATAACCTTTTCATATGGGCTCTAGATTTTATTTTTTTAAATACTGAAGCCATTTAGTCAACTATTCAGTCAACAAGGAATAGAAAAACGAATCGACATAAAAGTATATTAAAAAAGACATATATTTTCTAATTAGCCTTTGATTAATTCAGAGCGAAGTGTCAGATTTTGTTTAAGAAGGGGCTAACCAAGTTAAAGATTCAATCTTTGACATGTTTTTATGTGTAAAGTAGCATAGATATATACTAAATTTTTAAGCATGTATTTACACAATCTTATATGTTGCAAAATATATTTTGTGAATATCCATAATCAGTATGTTAAATATAACATATTAAAATAAATTAGTATTTTAGATAATTAGATTACATTTATTGATTAGTAAGGAAGCGAAACAATTTTCTAAATTATCGATATAGATAAAACCGAAAATTGAAAATAAATTAATCACGAATCCAAGGCAGCAAGCAATACACAGTGCTAGTGTATTTTTTAGAAACGAATTCTTTTTTTCTTTAAAAACAAGCCGTATATTCAAATCCATCGATATTTCTTAAACATTTACGTATTAACGTTTGTAGCATTCTTCGTTGTGATTAAGTTTTTTTGAATTCTTAAAATCGATATTTCTTAAACATTTACGTATTAACGTTGTAGCATTCTTCTTGTGATTAAAATTCATTTGAATTAAATCGGGTTTTAAACTGTCTTTAGATCAGACCATAATTTATATCATTTCTGAAGGACTTGTGAACAGAAGAAATATTTCAAATGAACTAACAAGGATTTAATAGTTTTAAATCATTGTTGTTATTTTAACATAAATATTCACATACAAATAAATGACCCTTGAATTTTTTCTGTGTTAAGGTAAATATTTTTCTACGCTATGTAATTATTAGATTTGTCTCTGCTATATTAAAAACACTTTCTTGGAAACAAATGGGGGGCATTTTGTTACGATTTAAAATTTTTTCTGTTTATTGGAGTTGCATGAATGAGTTGAATTTTAAAGGAGTAACCTTTAAAATGAGTTTATTGGAGTTGAATGAATGAGTTGAATTTAAATGAGGAAGTAACCTGATCTTTTAAAAAAGACATAATTGTCTGTAATGTAAAAGTAATGTAAAAGTTTTTAATTCGAAGGTAAAATAATGTACAAATGAGAGAAGTAGAATCGACGCTCTTTACTTTTGTGCACTTTTCAGGAAAAAATATAAACAAAGGTGAGATGGACAGTGCAGTGTGCGTAGAAGTTGCAAATGAGTTACCAAAAATAGTTTAAATAAATCAGCTTCCCAGGTTCTTGTATAAAAATTGTTAGGTTTTTTCACATACGATTAGTATACTAAAATATGCTCACCTTCGAATTAATTTAATTAAATCAAAAGGATAGAAATTTCTCCATTCACCACCAGGACAATGTCATCGTTAATCCCTCCTTTTAGCATGTTGAACAACAATGTGAAATTACAATATATCCACATCATCGAATTCTTCAATAAAAATAAGAAAATGAAAAAATCAGAACACTGAAATTCTTCTTAACCTCATTGCATAACATGCACTACAAGTGAAATACATACCTAACATAATGTTGGTAAACGAAGAAAAAAAGGTTTAGTTCATTTATTATACTTCTTTGTTCTTTAGTCCTGTGCTACGCTCAACTGTAATATTTAATCAGTGAAATAAACTGCTGTACGACCTAATTCGACGAACCTTTTTATTTTGTTTCAAAAACAAGGCTTTGAAATGTATGATACTACTGTTTTTCGTTACAACTCTACAAATCGGAAGCCAAATGCTTTGCTATCCTAATAATATGTTTCATATAAACTTTACAAATTAGTTCAAATACCTCTAATTTATTGTAGAAGACGGCTTTTAAAGAGATGTATTCTTGCACATCTGTTTATCAGCAAAGCCAAATCAGTTGCTAGAGGTCATGTGTGTTCAAAATTTCAGACGCTAGTGCCATAATTTCCATAATCTTTTAGTTTTCTGCATAAAAACCATACTTAATACTCAGTCCTTCAGTATTTAAAATAAAGATAGATGTATGTAATATAAATGATAGTAGAAGTCTTTTAATTTTCCCACTACTATCACTTTATCAGATTTTGTTTCGTGGGTAAGATTAAAAACACGATTTTACTACATAATATATATGAAGGTAACTGAAAAAATAAATGGTAAATACTGAACCTATGTGTACGTGAAAGAAAGAGCAAAAAACAAAAACAATGTTGCTTTGAAAATGATTAAACTTTGTTGTCGCAGATGAAATTCGAAATAACACTCGAAATATTTCCTCTGCGTAAGCCTTAACGTTTAATATATATATGATTATTACAAAATGATAATTCTTTAGGGCCTTCCTTTAATCGATAAAAAATAAATGACAGTTTTAACATATTTTTATTTAATTTTTAAAAAATTTTACATATTATTTACAATTAAAAGAAATCAATGCGCAGAAAAAAAAAAAAATCTGAAAGGTTTCAGATTTTAAATTACGTCCAAAAGGGCGTTTTTTTTTTTAACGTTTTGTGTTTACTTTTATTTATTTACCTTTTTTAACGTTTTGTGTTCACCTTTATCATGTTGTACGTACTCAAACTATAAAATTCAGTTCAACAGCAATATCTCAAATTACATATCTTTAGAATTTCCGATACAGAGCCTCGCGCTGGAGATAATTTTTTTTCCCCGTACAGTGTTGCTATTGCTCGCTTTGAAATCGTTTCGTTTTTTTAATCAAAAATTCGTTGAAGGGTTACAAAATCTGAAATCGATAATAAAATAAATTTCAAATTCAAATTAGGGCTTCCACGTGCCCATATTCTATGGAAAATTATGTTATTCAAATTTGGGTGGCTCTAGGTACCGTTGTTTTATCACAATGCGAGAAACATACGTACATTTATTGAGATTCTTCATTATTTAATTTCTTTAAATATAAGACAGGGCGATAATACATGGTGGCAACGATTTCAAAAGTGATTCAGCCTCTTAGCAAAATGCCAAAACGAAATTAATTGGCTTCAGAGCCAACCTGCACTTTTGGACTTAAAAAAAAAAAAAAAAAAAGACCGAATGGATGTAAAATGCACAATTTAAGGAAAATTTCCTTGCATGACAAGGTATTCCAGATTACCTCAGCTTAAAGGTAATAATTTTATCAGATTTTAAATAATGAGAAAAGGGAATTTAGACTCCCAGGTATATGATATACCGATGAGACAAATAATATGTACGTATGTCCGATCTGTAACAGAACTGCTATAGGCAA